GCACATAAATCAGTTAAGATGAGCAGCTATGTCAGTGGGTATTCGTGGCCATCGCACACCATGTCAACAATACAGTGGCCAAGAGTTGATGAAACATGACTTGTTGATGCCATCGATATTTCATGCTTTGTTGGGTATTTAGAAATATTGAATCTTTTCACAGTAGCCTCAGATACAAAACTGTCGGAACTCCCAGTATCAATGAGTGCATCTACTGGTCTGCCGTTTAACATCAGTGACACTGTAGCTTTTGAAAGACATTTTTGTGAGGCAGCAACAAGAGAGGAAGACATGGAGTTTATTTCTGTCTTATCACTTTGAGTTGTTTTACCCTTAAATGTCCTACTTTGGTTGCGAGAATTGCAAACTGTTGCCCAATGGCCTTTCTTGTCACAAATATTACAAACTGAGTCTTTGGCAGGACAGTTGGCTCGAGAGTGTCGTGACCGTCCACAAAAGAAACATTTTTCTCTTCTTATCGAGGATAATTGGTGTGAAGACGAATCAGAAGCTGCCTGAGAAACATTTGTATCAGTAACATCAACATCTTTAGGAGTTGACTGAGATATAGAGTTACAAGGGCTTGAAATATATGAAACCGCCTGATTTTCAGCTGATTCCAAGGTAATGGCTTGATTATAAGCTTCTTCAAGAGTCAAAGTTAGATTTTCAAGAAGTCTTTGTCGAATGGACTGTGATATTAGTCCTCGAATGAAAGCGTCTCTTATGTACTCGTTGCGATTTTCATTAGCAGTGACAGATTTAAAGTTGCATGCTTTACTAAGTTCTTTTAGTTTTCGAAGATACTGATCAATATTTTCTCCAGGTTCCTGTCTTCTAGTGGCCAGTTGATGACGTGAATATACCTCATTAGTAGGCTTTATAAAGAGTTTGTCAAGAATAGATATAGCTTCAGTATAAGAATCAGCCTCTGAGATTATTTCATGTATGTTAGTATGTTGTAGTCCACAAAATTAGTTAGAAGTTTTAGTAGATCATCTTCTGCAGCACATATTTCTTCCATGAAATTCTTGAAAGTGGTTTTCCAATGTTTCCACTGACGATCAGAATGGGGATCATTAGGGTCTAAAGATAGGGCTCCGGCTTGAAGAATTTATCCATTTAGATTTCTTGGAATAAACTTGAATAGAAAAGATAGAATACAACTTGTATAGAAGAACTTGTAATAATATAGTTAAAAGATTAAGTTGAATAAATTGTTATGAAAAGAAATGTTTAGAAACCAAATTTATATGGTTTTATTCAACTTAATAGTCAGCTACATTTTACACGAGAGAATTGCACAAAACTGTAAACATTACATACATAAACAAAACAGTCTTAAATAAAACAGCTGAATAAATATTTGACAGTACAAAAGGAATCATATTACATAACAGTTAGTCACGGACTGTTTTGAGGATATTTTCCAGTTGAACCACAATAGTGATCATAGATGGCGTAACTGAGTTTTTACTTACAAACAAGTTTTTCCTTATAAGGCTATATTATAATCAACTTCAAGTAGTACAACTTACTATATAAAGCCTTACTTCAATATTTCGTTGTAAACAAGATGTTTTTCGATTTTAAATAATGCTAGCAGATCATTGCAATATATAAGAAAACTAGGGAATTTACAACAAAAACATCATTTTATTTAACTTTATTGCACGAAGTTTTCGGGAATCTAGGCCCCTCTAATGCAGTTTTTTCCGCTGAGCGAAATCCGCTGGTTTTTTATGATGTCCGCGTTGGGGGGTGCCAGTGCTGCCAACTTTGTTCATTTGGCATCTTCAGTCACACTAGAAATACCTTGTTTATCGGTTTTGAACTATTTATGTGTTAAGAAAAATAGACGACGAGGAGGAGGTGGGCTGTACACCCGGTGAATCAAAGCCGTAGACTGGATGGAGCTTTTGCAAACTTTTATGGTGTGCTGCGAATTTTTGTATTATTCTGAGGATTTAAACATAAATGTAAACTTAATTATACTCACCATGTAAGTTTTACATTTACATCACTTCAGTTTTGCAATTATATCACTTCTTTAGCTGTATCCTCGATCTATTACAATAATCATCTATTTGTAACAATGGTTTGGTGATTTCGAAACAGTGGATGACAGAGCATGGGGTAGGCTGGCAGCACTGCATTCCGCCCGACAGAAAAGGCTGTGGCATAAAAGGGTTCCATTTATTTGATCATATGTAAAAAACACCCTGCCGGAAAGCCGAAATTCAGCAGAGCGCAAGTCCTCTCCGTCGCTTAAAAGGGTCCCATTTGATCACATGTTAAGTGTCCATTGGCATGATAATTTGACCAACAATTATCCAATTTTGATGAAATTTAATACAAACGTGTAACCCTACAATCATTCGAAAGAGTTCGCGAACCAGCATGATCGGACCATGGGAACGGGGTTTTATGCGGGGATTTATGGGGTAAACATACCTTTTCTCATTTTTGACCCTCAAGACAATTTTTCAATTTCTCTCTAAACCGTTTTGAAGAACTTAGACAAATTAATTATTTAGTATAATTAAGTGTTTTTGTACTGTTATTGGTTACGGAGAAAATTAAAAAAAAATGTAAATTTAAAATTCCTATGTTATTCTTATGGAAAATATTTAAACTCGCAGTTTGCTTTGTTTATGGATATATTTTCATCAAACTTGACAAATTTATTTATTTTATACTAAGCTATTAATATTTTACAAAAAATACCCTTTATTACCCTCCCTGTAGCAGAAAACCTAGGTAATTCTTAAACATGGCGTTATTTATATAGATTTAGTTTTTAGACAGTTTTTCATTTTGTTTCTATTTGCCCAATTTTAGGTGATATCAGGGAGTATTGGTTTGGAAAACGAAGCATGCATTGGGAAGAACACATAGAATACATAAATGGTAGGGATTGGCGTAAATTAGCAAACTTTATGAGGGAGGCGTGGAGAAGGAGGTGGGAGTTAATTAGAGAATTTAATTACGAATAAATTAAATGATTTTTTTCAAATTCAAAATTGTTTTATTATCTTTCTAATTTATAAATTAAATCAAAACAATAATTATGTCAAACAACTTGTCAGCCTGTCTTCTTAAATATTCATAGTAATTTTTATAGTTTTCATTATGCGTAAACCTTTTAAATTCTAATAATAAAATAAATGCCTCAAATTCAATTTTATAATTCTAATTATAAAATTTAACCGTCATAACGTAACCAAACTTGCTGATAATGAAAAAATCGAATGAAGGTTTACTAATCGAAAAAAAATAGTTCTGTTCATAAAATAAAACTAGAAATGACTCAAATTCAATTTTATAATGCTTTAATCATAAATTAAACTGTCATAACCTAACCAAACCAACCAAACTTGCTGATAATGAAAAAAAATCTTAGACAAAAAGTTAGAGCTACCGGTGGGATTCGAACCCTCAGCTTATCAGCCCGGTACGCTATCCATTGCATTGGACCACCGAGGCCGATGGCTCCACACCGTATCATTGCGGTAATGGTGTTCCCTCAGCTAATCAGAAGCCCACAGCTGTCATCGTAGGCTCATCTATACCTCCCTTGAGTAAACACAGGCTTGTGCCCTTAGTAGTTTTATAATTAATTTTTTTTTATAATTTCTCATTTTAGTGGATTTCCGAAATAGGGAATAAGCTAGGGCCTATTATCGTAGTACTCATGGTAAGACCTGGACCCGATACCGATTTAATTTTTCATTTTGAGGTCCCTAGAGGCCAAAAACACCATACGTTAAAATATATACAGGGTGTTTTTTTAAAAACTTGCATTTTTATTTATGTAAAAACCGCAATAGATAGAAATATGCAGTTTGCGGGAATCATCTATTGACGTAGGGAGCCCAATTGTTTTGAATTCAACGTCACATTTACATTCCCCCCCTTTCCCCCAACTTATTTATTTTAAAAGCTCAAGGCACCCCTTGTGACATATCAAATGAAAGAGCATGAAAAAAGAAAATGTTTGGTGAAGTTTATTTTTCATTTGATATGTCCCAAGGGGGGGTACCTTGCTATTAAAAAAAAGTTATGGGCAGGGGAAAAGGGGGGGGATTATCTCACAAATTCATGAGCCGATTTTCAATTTTTTTTACCAAACATTTTCTTTTTTCATGCTCTTTCATTTGATATGTCACAAGGGGTACCTTGCAATAAAAAAAATAAGTTCCGGGGGGTGGAGGGGGGAATGTGAATGTAACGTTGAATTAAAAAAAAATGTGCCCCCTACGTCAACAGATGATTCCCGCCAACTGCATATTTATATCTATTGCGGCTTTACATAAAGATGCAAGTTTTTAAAAAACACCCTGTATATATATATCTGTGTGTGTGTGTGTGTGTGTGTCATTTAGCGCGATAACTCGAGCAAAAATGATCCGATTTTGATGAAATTTGGTACCGTACAAACCTATTTCATTTGTGAGCTTAAAAAAAGATATAATTTAGTATATTGAAGCGCTGTTGTATGCCTAACGGTCACGGAGAAAATTAAAAAATAGTGTAATTTAAAATTCCTATGTTATTCTTATGGAGAAAATGAAAATTGTTGTAGTTTACTTGTTTATGGATATATATTGATAAAATTTGACAAATTTATTCATTTCATCCTATACAATTGACGTATGGTCAAAAACACTTTTTACCTTCCCCGTAGAAGCAAACCTAAGCACACTTTAAATCTAATGTTATTTAAATAGGGTATAAAATGTCTCATTTATTTAAATATTTTAGTACAAATATAATCAGACAAGTTGAAATTCGCTTAGTCTGCAGGTTTGCTGCGGCGGGGGTATTTTAACTGCTATTTTTTTCGTATTAAAAAACTGCAGCTGAAATAGAAATTATGCCGTCGGCGTCGGGTTGTCAGGACTCAGACTCAGGAGAAGTGTGTGAGGGAGTTGAGTTGAGTGACCGTCGGTGTGGTCCGTTCCGTTCCGTACCACCGTACCGCACCGAACCCGACCCGAACGAACCGAATTACCGAATCGACCCATCAATCAACAAATCGAAATGAAACAAAAACAAAAGTGCTATTATTGTTATTTAGTGTAATTAAAGACATCTACTTTGTTTTAGTAGGAGTATTTGAAGGTTTGTTTAACTACACTTTAACTTATATATTCAATTTATGATTCCACAAAAATATAGTTAACTGTCTTAAAGTGCAACTTTCTTTCACTAGGCCTACATAGTAAAGTGCAGGTAGATAATATAGGTTATCTGTATGTTTTGATTAATAATTAATTATTAGTCTCTTGTCTTATCTTATCCAATAATATGTAGGCTAGGCCTACTACAGCCTGTGGGTGGGATTTGTACACTTCTAGTCGGATTAATTGTAACCCCTCTAGTATTAAATACATAGGCAGCTCTAGGCTCCCAAATGGGGGGGGCTAACTCGGACTGCCGGGGAGGGGGGTCTGGGGGTATGGAATACCCCTCAGTGAGAAGGGGGGCTGGGGTAGTGATGGGACAAACGACTGATTTCAACCATCCGATGTTTCATCCGATGGTTTTGCTTTCATCCGATTGTGGCGATAGTCTTCAGATGGATGATTCATCCGAAGGTTTTTAGTGTAGTGGGGTGGGGGGCGTCCGTGCTGCTTCCAGAGACAGATAAACTATCCAACTAGAGAATGAATGGATAAACCATCAGTTTGCGCGCTTGATCAGATAGATAGTTTTTTTGTATTGTGGCATTTGGCGTTTTTGATAGGGAATAAAAACTGCTAAATAAAAGTGTTCTTGACATTTTTTCATAACATTAGCCGTTTTTGAGTAATTTAAGTCAAAAAAATTCAAATGGCCGCCATTTTGAAATTTTAAATTGAATCAAGATGAATTTTTTTTTAACATTGGTCTTTTCTACCTTAACCTACATACCAAGTTTTATAAAAATCGGTTGAAAACGTCAAAAATAAAAATGTTTATGAAAAAAATACAAAATGGCGGATATCTGGTTAACGAAGCGATTTTGGAAAAATGTTATTCTTGATTTTCTCTTAATTTTGACCTAAGGAATCACTAGGTAAAATATGTCCCCACCTTTTTTGAACACCCTGTATATATACAAATGCATTATTAAAAACTAAGTAGGCCTACCCTTTTTTTAAATTCATTTTACTAAATAACAACTATTTTCGACAATTATGCCATAGTCATAAATTCATAAATTCAAAGTCTTAAATGACTATGGCATAATTATCGAAACTAGTCGTTGTTCAATAAAATGAATTTAAAAAAAGGGTACCTACTTACTTAGTTTTTAATAATCCATTTGTATATCAAAATAGTAGCCCTAATCACTACAGTTTTCATAATATATATACCGTATATATATATTATAGCCTAGCCTATATAAATATATATTTATGAATTTGAACTGATGGTGTTTTTGGCCTCTGGGGACCTCAAAACAAAAAAGTAAATCAGTCCCGGGTCTAGGTCTTACCATGAGACCTATGGACCTAGGGAATAGCTTATTCCCTATATGGGAAATCAACTAAAAACAATAAAAATATACGTCTAATTACACTAGTAATAATATATTTGCACTTATACTGTTGACACACAAGACGGTAACTACATATGAAAGATGGTAAGTTGTGATCGATTTTGATTGGACACTCCAATCATCATCAGACCCAACAGGCAAACTTACCACTTACCACTTACCATCTTTCATATGTATTTACCATCTTGTTAGTCAACAGTATAAGTGTAAATATATTATTACTAGTATTATTAGACGTATACCTTTTTTGTTTTTTTTTCAAATAAGTTTGGCTAAAAAATGGCTTTATGTAATGTAAGTTACATTGTTTGGGAGTATGTCTACATTATTATAATTTCATTGTTTCAGAATCATAATATCATGACAGAGAAGGAGGCCAAGCCTGGAGATGGGATTAAGTCTTTGAAAACAAGTTCAGTCTTTAGGGTTGTTAACTTTGAATTGTACGCTACACCAGTAAGTATCAATGATCCAATAAAAGTTACTAGTTCATTGCATATTTTTGTTTTATGGATCATAAGGGCTGCAAAGTTTAAATTTGCTACACAAACACACGTACAATATATATTTATTCAAACTGGTTTCCAAGGCTGCTATTTGATTTAACTTAATAAAAATGTCTGCAAATGGGTCTGCCCTGAAAATAACACAATAATGATATTCTAAAGAATATCTAAGGTTATGAGAAATAGAAAGCCAAAATCGGACAAAAATTACTCAAGTTATCGCGTTTATGGGTACATATATATATATATACAACATTATATTAAAAAATTGTATATATAGGCCTATACAATTTTGAACGAATGGTGTTTTTGGCCTCTGGGGACATCAAAATGAAAAAGTAAATTTCCAGTGGCGATTACGTGGAAAATCATCATATTAGGTTGGCAACACTGCCGCTCATGCGCTGTAAGTTCCCGCTCAGTCTAGTGCGTTCTTCTGTGCCTGTGTTCTGCAGTAGGTTGTCGTTACTCGTTATTTAGTGAGGATGTGTCCTCCACAATGTCAAAGAGGAAAGCTTTACAAAGTTAATTAATAACAGATTTGTTTAGCCCTTTCAGACCCAGCACACTTATTTGTGTAGGTAAATTTTTAAGTCCTGACAACCTAGGTTAGATGTTTATTTGAAGTTTCTGGATCTTTCTGTTACTGAAACTGAAATGTTTAATATGGTATTATGAAGGTTTCGTCTTTAAAACAAACCTAACCAATAATTTTAGTATTTGAAATCTAGGTTAAAAACCAACATTTATTCAAAATTTGCTCAGGACTTAAAGCGGTCGAGATGACTAAGATTCCCGGGTCTGAAAGGGCTAAAAAGGGTCACTCTTTCCATCGCAATAATTTTACCTACAGTCAGGGCATGGCACGAAAAAAATATTGGGGGGATACACTTTGAATTTCCCAACTATTTTACGTGGATTTCCCAACTATATTACACGGATTTCCCAACTATATTAATATCAAGTGAATCATATGACGATGTCCATTGCAAATTTTGTAATTTTGTTCATTGATTAATATATGTCTTATTTGGACTCTGCCCCAAAGCGCCCATTCTAAAGCATTGGAATGACATCATGGCACCCTCAGCGCTGTTCGGTTGTTCTGCTATAAGACTAGCCTACATGTTTTGGGATTGGCCTGGCCGCGCCGTCCACGCCATCCTTACCAAGCAAGCGACGATCAAAAATAAGCCATTACTGAATTGAGTGATCTAATTATTTGATATGTTTACATTGTACTACTTATATTAGTTCTATTTTTAGTACTAATTTTAGTAGTATTATTTTGTATTCAAAACATATTGTTTTAAGTACTCGTTAAAGTATTTTAATTTAATTTAACCTAAGAATGTAATTGATTTATGTATTGTTGGGAGGGCGGCGTACGAGAGTCCTTTTGGGCTAGCCGCCACAACTGACAATAGGAACTAGTACTTGAGTTTATTTTAGGAGAACATAGCTGATGAGTTGCTTTCATTTGCAGAACCGAGTGGTGATGGGGCTCGGGTTGTTGGCTCTAGCTGGATGTGTTAGTTACATAGGCTACATGAGGCACAAGTACGCGGGTATGGGCTACTACCCAGCCATCGACAATGAGGGCAAAGAGGTTTACAAGCTCAAACAATCTAAATGGGATTAGCTTGTAAACTAATCAACCTGTATAGTGTTATCTGTAAATATGTATTGCAAATAAAAATAATTTGGTTTAAATACTGACACACACTTCCTCCTCATTTACCTAAAACTTAAATAAATTTGTTTTCCCACTATACAAATAAGAAATTGAATTTTCTCAACATCTTCATGGTAAGATAATAAATAATGAACCAAAGGCATCATTAACCCCATTGACATATTAGTATTTGTATTACTTAACTAGCTGCTGGACCCTGTGCTTTGAAACAGGGAAAACACTGAAGCGAAAAATTTGTTCTTTAAATCTGGTGTATGAAATAGATACATCCACCTTTGGTTTCAGAAACAAAATTCAATTACACATCTTAATCTAAACAAATATTTTTCTTAAAGCTAGGCTATCTTTGGTACAAATTATATGAGGTGCTGATGCATGTATGAATATTCTTAACTACTGTACGTGTTGCTCAAAATCGAGCAATTGCAAAGTATTACAGGAGTTACTTGAAAACGAATAACAGTAATAATTTCTGATGAGTTTAATCAACTCAAAGATTATGTAACTAATGGAAACTAGTGGCTTTTAGGGACATAAGTCCCTAAAAAGCTCAAATGTAAAACCGCTTATTGTAATATTTAAACAATCTCAGGATCAAATTATCTGTGTCAGGATAGGTATCCCTCTGTACACCATATTTAAATTACTCCAGAGGTTTAACTCTGCGGCAGCAAACATGTTTGTGAATAAATATTGTCATTTTGATGTTAGCCTCCGGATTACGTTGAATATATAAATTGGTTTAAATACCTGCTTCTAGTAATCCAATAGTCGACTATTGGATTACTAAACCAAAGGATATTTTGGATATATTAGATATTTAAACCAATTTAATAAATAGTACCTGGGGACCGAGCTATGCTCGGAGAAAATCATTAGTTTACTCTGAAAGCAGTCTTAGTATTGCAGATACATAAATCCATTACCAAACTCCACACTGCTCGCCTTTACTACTTCCTTCACCACTCCCTACGTCGTGGACCTGTTTCCCTCCCTTCCCATTGCATTTTAGGATTGCAGATACATTAATGTAATTGCCACAGACAGTTCCCACACTCTGCACTGCTAGCCTTACTAATTCCTTCACCACTTCCTACGTCGCGGACCTGTTTTCCTCCCTTCCCATAGCATTTCAGACTAATATAGTCCTAAACAGTTCCCACACTCCGTACAGCTCGCCTTGACTACTTCCTTTACCACTTCCTACGTCGCGGACCTGTTTCCCTCCCTTCCCATAGCATTTTATGATTGCAAATACCTTAATCTAATCGTCATAAGCACTTCCCACACTCCAGACTACTCGCCTTTACTACTTCCTTCACCACTTCCTATGTCGCGGACCTGTTTCCCTCCCTTCCCATAGCATTTAAAGATTGCAGATACCTTAATCTAATCGTCATAAACAGTTCCCACACTCCGGACTACTCGTCTTGACTACTTCCTTCACCACTTCCTACGTCGCGGACCTGTTTCCCTCCCTTCCCATAGCATTTTAGGATTCCAGATACTTTAATCTTATAGTCCTAAAAAGTTCCCACACTCCGGACAGCTGTCCTTGACTACTTCCTTCACCACTTCCTACGTCGCAGACCTGTTTCCCTCCCTTCCCATAGCATTTCAGGATTGCAAATACCGAAATACCTTAATCTAATCGTCATAAACAGTTCCCACACTCCGGACAGCTTGGCTTGACTACTTCCTTCACCACTTGCTACGTCGCGGACCTGTTTTCCTCCCTTCCCATAGCATTTTAGGATTGCAGATACCTTAATCTAACCTTCATAAACAGTTCCCACACTCCGGACAGCTCGCCTTGACTACTTCCTTCACCACTTCCTACGTCGCGGACCTGTTTCCCTCCCTTCCCATAGCATTTTAGGATTCCAGATACCTTAATCTAATAGTCCTAAACAGTTCCCACACTCCGGACGGCTCGCCTTGACTTCTTCCTTCACCACTTCCTACGTCGCGGACCTGTTTCCCTCCCTCCCTATAGCATTTTATGATTGCAGATACCTTAATCTAATCTTCATTAACAGTTCCCCCACACCGGACAGCTCGCATTTACTACTTCCTTCATCACTTCCTACGTCACGGACCTGTTTCCCTCCCTTCCCATAGCATTTTATGATTGCAAATACCTTAATCTAATCGTCATAAATAGATACCACACTCCGGACAACTCGCCTGCTTTACTATTTCCTTCACCACTTCCTACGTCGCAGACCTGTTTCCTTCCCTTCCCATAGCATTTTAGGATTGCATATACCTAGTCTAATCGTCATAAACAGATCCCGCACTGCTAGCTTTTACTAGGCTTCAAATGTATCGAGTAATCTTCAGTATAATCTTTACTCAATAGTAACAAGTGATGTTTTTGCTTTTGTACTGTATTTTGTAATTTCTAGTATACTGTGGTTAGTAGATGGCTTATTATGAACACGTGCTATAACTTCAAGTCTTTTTCCTTGTTATTTAATTCAACTAACATGGTTACTTAGCAACCCATAAGACTATTGTAAAAAAATGTGACTTTCAGTTGAATTTTTCTACGGTACGTAATTAGATTTTTGTTGGCAGTTGAAAAATATACAAAGCACATAGTGTTGTCACGGTGGTAAAGTAAATTTGCCTAATCACGGATCAAATGAATGCATGCAAGAAATGTTTACTTCTGACACTGACAGATCGAGAATTTCAAAACATTTAGCAGAAACTATAATAATGCCTTGACTATGATAAGTTCAAGTAGTAAGATTATACCAACTTTCAAAACTTTGGGACAGGTATAAAAAGAGGAAATCCACTGAACAACGTGAGAACGTTCTGATGCGGGGCATATACTGTGACTGACAGACAACACGTTATCCAACTTTCAATGATGTTTCTGCCTATTCAAAGCAGATTATGGCTGTCCAGTTGGTAACCCAGAGATTGTGGGTAACAAATGGAGCACATGAAATGGTTGATATCACCCAACTTTTCAGGATTCTCTACGGAGAAAATTCGTTTGATTAGAGGGAAGTCTCAAATCAATGAAATAAAATGACCCAAACTTAAATTAGGTACTTCACACAGGCTACACAGAAATGCAACAGTTTTCTTCAATTCTCAATGCTGGAAAAACGTTGTTGTAACATGTTAGCTCGAATTGAAGCAGATCGTTTAGCATTCATTAGAAGTTATCAGTTAAAACCGAGAGCAGAAATAATGTAGGTGAACCTTTTACGACGCAAATAGAGATATTTCAAATTAGTTTCTAACATATAGATACTCACGATGTTCATAACAGTTCAGCGCCACTCATCCTACACTCGCCATTTCATTGAAAAGTATTAAAGTATTAATATAACACGCTCTTTCCAATGAGACGTGAATGGTCAAAATTGGTTAAGAAATGGCGCAGGAGTTCAAAGGACAAATTTTGTGTTGGCGTATTAATAATATAGATAGCTACTACTATGTTCATTAGGTTGAAAAATGTACCTTTAGTTTAAAGTCAATAGGTCAACAAAAATCACACAACATAGGGTACTACTGTATGATACAAAAAACTGTTTATATTGATCTTGAGTCTCACTAATCAATATCATTCTGGTAGTCTATATAATTTTAAGATCCGGTACTACTTTTACCATCGGATTGGACCGTTAATACCCTCTAACATTGAACCAAGTATGTCCAACTTTATATATACAAAGTTAACACAGCTGTTACAGAATTGGTCAATGATGCGACCAAGTGCTGATGCATGATTTAAGTGACTATCTTTATTCCATACAACAAATGTAATGAACAAAAATCAACGAATGTAGGAATCGGCGGTTAAACTAGTAGTTTGTCATAACTTTTCTTTCATACATGTTCTACATTTGAATTTTAATCACATTATACTTTTTGTCCCACTAACTTTGGACAAAGAAATTGTAGAAAACTGCCATTTTGGAGACTTAGTTTACACAAATTTTTTGGTGGGGTACCCCCAAACCTCCCAGACCCCCCTGGTTCGCCCCCCCCCCCCTTGTGACTGTTCTAGATCTGCCACTGTATAACTGTACACGTCGCTGTGTTGTAATGAGAAGTTGTATAGCCATGCATTTTACAGGGTTTTGTTTGTGTTATCCGCCACTGTATAACTGTACACGCCGCTGTGTTGTAATGAGAAGTTGTATAGCCATGCATTTTACCTGGTTTTGTTTGTGTTAAGTTTTTATTTTTACTTATAACGACCTCCTATGAACCATAGATTTTACGTCCAACTTGACAATGACGCCATAGATGTCAAAACCGGTCGTATTATAGACGACTTTAGGATTACTTGGACAGAAAAATGTACTTTAAGACCTCTTGTATACTTACACCAGAAGGCAATACACTAAATGAGACAATATGCAGTTGGGCGCATGACATCTCAAATGTGTTAATATTTCTTAAATCTTGCCTTACACCGGATTTTGATCACTTTTCTTTCATACATGTTGTTACATTTGAATTTTAATCACATCATACTTTTGTTCTCCAACTGTACAAATGGTCCTTAAAATTGAAAAATAAGAATAAGTTAGGGAAGAGATAAATCCCACAAACGGCAATAAAATCTATAATTTTATTTTTGAAAATGCCACTTGACACATTAGCTTAACAGTAATAAATTTTTGTTTCTGTGACAAAATATTTAACAATGTTTTTAAATATACAAAATCGCTAACATTTTTAAAAGAGATAAAAACATGAGTAATGACAAGATGACTTAACATAACAGCTAAAAAGTCTACTATCACAAGAAAAGACGAGAACTTCATCACAGTCACGCGTGTGATGTTCTGATAAACTTCTGACCAGAGTGCTCATATAAAAATATTCACTTAGTAATTCACATAGGTAAAGTGTTTAATAACAGAGTATAAGATTTTGTTATCCTAAAACAGGGGTCTCCAACATTGTTTATGTAAGTGCCAGATTTTAATACCTTGGAGGCCAGACAGTATGGAATACCCACCAAGGGTAGAGGGGAGCCCTCCCTAGAAATTTTTGTAAAACGTTACTTGCAAAGTGGACATTTTAATCATTTTGACAAAGAAAAAGGTTTAATCTCTTGCTTACAATCTGAAACCCAAAGAGATTAAACTTTTTCTCTTGGGGGTTTAAAAGCAAAACCCCTTTTTCGGGTTGGTGTAATTTTGAGTTGTTATTTTCCTGTTGGTTTTTACAAAGATCTGAAAGCTTAGTCAAATAATTAAGAAAATACCTAACAGATTATTCTTAAAAGTGATTACGTGTAGAGAGATATCCCTCATCACTAAAATATAATGTGCAAAACAACCACTACAAACAAATAATGAATTGTATCAAATAAAGTTGCTACCATAACAATTACCATCAAACAAACACTTTAATTTTTCAAATTATTGTCAGTCCAATATTATTTAAGATAGAGACAGAGAAATATATTGGAAAATAAGGCCCGAAAATACGGCTACTCATATCACACATTGCCCATGCCAACACGAGCCATAGTTTGGAGTCCCCTGTCCTAAAATACAAAAGTATTTCTGATTCTAGTTAAAATCAAGTCATAAAGTATTTGACACTAATTACAAACAGGGTTTGTACAAGGCAGCAGAAAGGCAATGCTAATTGGGTTATTATTGATGCTCAAATCTTTGAATTGATTTTGTCAGAAATTCACAATCCTCTCATAAATACACACCAAACTGATGTTAATGGTTTTGTAACTGTGTTACAAAAGCTTCTATCAATTTATTTGACTCAATTATTCAAGCTACAAAGGATATTTTTGAAAACAAACATTGTTGCTATAAAAGTGCAATTAAACATCCAGAATTTTTTATGTATTTTATAATCCCCAATAGCTTAGCACGCCAATATGCTTTAACCCTGTAACAGAAACCTGATAATAGATAATAGCTATGACTTAAATACTTGAGATTGGTTTATTTATGTGATTTACATTATTTGATGATGCAAAAGGTCATAATCATTTGCCAGGCATCAATTCCTAAGACCATGCATTCTACAATGAAAGTAAATCAAATTTTGATTTTGTTTTTCAAGTTTATCAATTAAGAAGTTTGTAATAATTTAATTTGAATAACCCCCTATTTTACAATGACAGTTGGTTTGAATTAAATTTTTACTAACAAAAAACTATATCAATCATGAACATTTTAAATTCTATTTCAAATTAGACTGTAGATGAGGAAGCAATTAGTCATGAAGTTTATGCAACAAATTAATAACAATACGATGTACTAAATCTAAATGACAGGAGAAGGGTGTTGAGATCAGGCAACTACTGGTTCTCCTGGACCATAATACTTCAATACTACAAGCTCAAACATCAATGGTTTTCTTGTTTCAAAAAGTATCAAGACAAAGTTTTGTCGATCTCCCTATGTTACAAAAGTTATGCGTTAAATAGTGAAATATTCAACTTGAAAATCTGCTAAGATGAGGTTTAGATAAAGTGAGATGAGAATAAATAAATCTGAAATGATAATGAAAATTAATTGAAATAATGTAAACCCTTTGGCCTTTACAGTGATTCTTACTAGGCAGGATTTTTTGTTTATAATTATTAGGTCTTATACAAACCAGTATGGTAAAATGCTAAGAAAAACATCGGAACAAGAGAAAAATAACCAGGTATACATTAGAAATTTAGTATTGACTTTCCAAAGACCAATTTAAATATGAAACAATCTACGTTCAAAAGTAAACTATCAATGATGTGATTGTGTTTCTGCAGAAAAATGATTTCTTTTTAGATTATGGTCATTGCAAAGTTTTGACCAACAGTCAATAGGAATGAAAGACACTTCTTTAATTTTCTGGGCCATTTTTCTGCTTTACAATCTGTATAGCTTATTTTTAAGTTTATTGTTTGGGAGCAAAATTTACTAGCATACTGTTTGGTACACGTCTTAACACATAAAAAAAGAGTATTGATTAAAATTAGCGCATTCTAAAATATAAATCTTCACGTACAAAACACATTATGACCAGGCTTAAATCGTACGCCACAAATCACATTTTGAAACTAAATCATATAATGACCCTTAAAATCGAATTGGTTAACATAGTTCTATACACAAGATGTTGTAGGCACTGTGTTACGTCATGTATCTCATGATGACTCGAAGTGCGTACAGTAACTCTGCCTGCATACGAGCTTCTAACACCATTATGTTCACATGGACCTGAAAATGTAGACAAGAGTATGTAGACCTTCACATTATACAAACATCTTAAATATAGAGAATAAGGCCTGAAAGATCTAGTATAATGACTATAAGCATCAAAAGTTTGATCCATAATCTAAAGATAATTATTTGATCTTTTATAATAGATTTATCTGGGTTAAAAGTTATGAGTCTTTCTTTTATGATTTTTGGCATAGGAACAGCTGTCAAAAACACTCTTCTATAATGAAAAGCAACAAGTGCAATTGCTGCTTATAGAACAACTAGCTGTACCCGCGGGCTTTGCCCCGTTTAACTTCATAAGTATTCGCATGGCCCAATCACGTCCTGGTTGAAGTTCGTTCGCTACGCTCACTCACCTTTAGGTTGGAGCTTGTTCGCTGCGCTCACTTGCCTTCACATTAGCTCATTCGCTACGCTAACTCAACTCCAGGTTGAAGTTCGTTCGCTACGCTCACTCACCTTTTGGTTGCAAATTAGCTGTTGTCATAAATAAAAAAAAATAATGGTGCTGCACTCTGTTCTTGTAACTTTAATGCTATTGAACATCATAGAACAGAACCAACTTGTTTAATTGAAACAGCTGTTAAGATTTATTAATTCCTTATAAATATGAAAAATCATAAGGTTAACATGGGAAACTCCAGAGCAAATAGGGCGGAGCCCGAAAGCCCTATCAGAATAAAAACTACTTAGTTTTCCTATTTAATGCCCAAAGAATCGGTGTACCGAATTTCAGCCTCCTAGGTAAATGGGAAGTGGGAGAATTAGTGATGAGTGAGTGAGTGAGTGAGTGAGTCAGTGAGTCAGTGAGGGCTTTGCCTTTAGATTATTAATAATTGCTGTAACCATCCTGTAACATACTGCAGAACAAACTCCAGGAAACACCAAATGCTGCAATTTTTGTTTAGCTCTACAAATATCCCTTTTAAATGTACTCGAAAAACCTGCATGCTGTTGTGGATGTTGTTCCAAGACTCAGATTACTCACTCTTTATTGTTTGAACTATACAATACTGATTTGTCAAAAATAGCGGAATACTGAAATTTTTGAATAGAATTAGCAGTTTTACCTCCAACACAAAATAGTCTCTGGAGATCATTAGAAGAACAGCACTAGTTTGTCTCAAGAAGTACTGTATGTTGTGACATCACTGGTGGCAACTATTACATGTGACATTTGTAAGCAAAGGTGGTATGTGGATTTTGTTAATTCAAGATTATGGTAGGGTCCAGTAAAATGCATTAGGTCAATCCCCAAAGTAATTTAGTTCCGAACTTTGAATTAATTAACTGCTGAATTTACAATAATAACCGTAACCCAAACAGTTTTACAGTAAAGATTTAAGAACTAACATCCTGTGTTTAATACAAATAAAGTATTAACATCAGTACAAAATTGGTAATTATTGGTGCATTCATTACTAGGACAATAATTAATCTAAAAAAAAAAATGTTTAAAATACCTGATTCTCGCCTTATGGTCCAAGGTTTGTCCTACTGTATTATGTGTATTTCGGCATGAACGCCATTGTTGGATCCATAACTAATAACTATTCTTCCCTGAATGAAATGAAGGTTAGGAACTAGTATATAAGGAATGTTATACAGATCCGACGATGGCATTCGTGACAAAAGAAGCATAATCCAGTTGGACAAACCTTGGACCACAGGGCAACAATAATGTGTTTAATCTTTTTTTTCAATTGTCAATCAGTTGGTCTGGGAACACCACAACCAAAAATGAAGGACAATAATTAATTGTTGGAAGAATGCTGGTTTCCCCATTTAGGTTGATTCACAAATATCAGTTCAGTCACCATTCCATCACAGTTCAGTCTCAGTTGTATCCGCAATTTCTCAGTCAAACCGTCAGGTTTTAGTCAGTCTTCCATCACTTTATTTCCAGTGATGTTACAAACATACAAAAAATTAAAACACAATATTCTATCAAATTTTCTTTGTCCATCTTGATGATACTAATAATAGAAACACAATAATTTAAATATAAAAAATAATATTTTCGAACCTCAAACTCGTCTGTCAGGCAACAATCCAAAAATATCGGTGAGAAGAAATCTGAAATTGACTGACTGACGCCAGCAGAGCGACTGATGGAACTGCATCGGATCAGTGTAGAAAGCGCAATAGAAAATCTATTAACGGTAAAGAATAATTTTTTTTTACTGTGACGTGACTGACCTGCTACGTACCGTAACTAATATGTGTGAATTGACCTTTAGTACAGTAGATTAACAACATAGATTGTTTACCTTCTCACTGTGTTTAAACTCTCTAAGGACCCTGTCATAATCAGCCTTGGTTGTGCGCTCGGGGAAACAACAAGTTGATTTGATAAAGGATTTCAGAGACCTCTCCAGCAGATGGTTCACTTCTCCATAGTTGTAGTCGTCATGCCTGGAACAACAGGGATAGATAACTGAAATACCGGTATATAACATTCTAAACAAAGAAAAACATTTTACTTGTGTACAGTGCTTGATTTCTAAAACTTGAGGTACCTAAAAAGTATTATAGTTCTAATCTACCTAGAACCATGACTTTTCTCCCCATCCTACTTATTACCCTCTGACCATAGACAATTGTGTGATAGCAAATACTACACAGCATCCATATTTATTTATAAAATATTGTTTTCTGAAAAATAGTTTGTAACTTTAACTTTTTCTTTAATTGTGTGATGATCTGAATCTAGCTCTGTGGACAGCTTCTTTATGGAAATCTATACCTAAATCCCTGCCCATTTAAAAAGAAATTGGGACGAATCTAGAAATTTGCTTAGTTATGCTACTACAAGAAACAAGAAAATTTATTTATTTTTCAAAGAAAAGTTGGCGGTTTTTTCAACCTTGCATTTGCCCGTCCACATACGCGTGGAACGTATCCAGCAAAGCAAAAGATGAGCCAGTACAGTACATACAGACATTCCTGCCTTGGATTCGTAGTCTGTCACGCAAACCGACTTGGCCACCGTCCCACCTAAATCTGTGTTGTAAAACGTTTTGGTTATATTAAAAAAAACTATATGGATCAACGTTTTGGCTGTTTACATATTATTCAGTGCTTCCACAAGGAAATACTTTATCTTATGGGCTTAGTTTTAGCTTTCTAACTGGGATGGATGGAAAGGTCTGCTGAGGAATTTTAATTTTAATATTGAGTTACAATCTTTTAGCGAATTTCCCTATAGGGAAGTAGCTATTACCGTAGGTCTCATGGTAAGACCTAAGCCCGGGACCGATTTACTTTTTCATTTTGATGTCCCCAGAGGCCAAAAACACCATTCGTTCAAATTTTTATATATCTATATATAGAGATATATATATATATATATATATATATATGTCCATCCGCACGATAACTTGAGTAATTTTTGTCCGATTTTGGTAAAATTTGGTTTGAAGGTGTAAGGCGGGATAAACTTGAATGAGTTCGCGAACCAGCATGATCAGACTATGGGAACGGGGGTTTATGGGGGGTTTTATGGGGTAAAAATAGGTTTTTCCCATTTTTGACCCTAAAAACACAAAATTTCACAATTTCTTTTTAAACCATTTTGTAGAGCTTAAAAAAACAAATAATTTAGTATATTGAAGCGTTATTATGCGCCTAATTGTTACGGAGAAAATTCAAAAAAATTGTAATTTTAAAATTCCCATGTTAGTCTTATGGAGAAGAAGTCAACTGTTGTAGTTTGCTTGTTTATGAACATATTTTGATCAAATTTGGAAAATACATGAATTTCTTACTAAACCGCAGTACCTATTAATATTTTACATAAAAAAAAACTTTTTTACCCTCCCTGTTGCAGCAAACCTAAGTAGGTACTCATTAAACTAATTCTGTTTAAATAGGGAATAAATGTGATATTTTTAAGGAGACATTTTAGTTTAAATCCAATCAGGCAAATGGAAATTCGCTAAGTCTGCAGGTTTGCTGCGGCGGGGGTATTTAGAATTTAGGCATTTCAAGCAATCTATTTAGGTTTTTAAGCACATTTAGAAAGTTTTTACATACCTACTTAAATACAATACTTTTACAAGCTTAAATATTAATTATATAATTTAAATCTATTGTTTTGTTTATTTCTACTGCCAATGTTTAGGGTGGCAAAAAAATTGTTTGGGACTTTTCTGGTAGGAATTGCTAGCTGTAATCAGGCCAATACTGTGACTGCACTCACATGATGCCGAACATACAGTGGATGTAGTTCCAGATGGCACGACGGAACCGTGATGTGTCTACATCCCTGCGACCTCCCATCGTGTAGTACGTCAGGTTGTAGGCTGTTTTGAACTTGTCATCCAGCAAGTTGCCTACATCATTGTACAGACGGTTCACTAGGGAGTAACCTTGGTCATCCCACGAGTAGTCCTGAAACACAAGGACCATTGGACATAGGGATCACGATCACATGTTGTAGTAGATCCAGGATCAACCGCAAGTTGCCTACGTCATTGTACAGACGTTTAACTAAGGTCATCCCACAAGTAGTCCTGAAACACAAGGACCATTGGACATAAGGAATACGTATTGTAGTAGGTCCAGGATCAACGGCAAGTTGCCTACGTCATTGTACAGACGGTTCACTAGGGTCATCCCACGAGTAGTCCTGAAACACAAGGGCCATTGGACATAAGGATTACATGTTGTAGTAGATCCAGGATCAACGGCAAGTTGCCTACGTCATTGTACAGACGGTTGACTAGGGTCATCCCACGAGTAGTCCTGAAACACAAGGGCCATTGGACATAAGGAATACGTATTGTAGTAGGTCCAGGATCAACGGCAAGTTGCCTACGTCATTGTACAGACGGTTGACTAGGGTCATCCCACGAGTAGTCCTGAAACACAAGGACCATTGGACATAAGGAATACGTATTGTAGTAGGTCCAGGATCAACGGCAAGTTGCCTACGTCATTGTACAGACGGTTCACTAGGGAGTAACCTTGGTCATCCCACGAGTAGTCCTGAAACACAAGGAGCATTGGACATAAGGATTACATGTTGTAGTAGATCCAGGATCAACCGCAAGTTGCCTACGTCATTGTACAGACGGTTCACAAGGGTCATCCCACGAGTAGTCCTGAAACACAAGGACCATTGGACATAAGGATTACATGTTGTAGTAGATCCAGGATCAATGGCAAGTTGCCTACGTCATTGTACAGACGGTTCACTAGGGTCATCCCACGAGTAGTCCTGAAACACAAGGACCATTGGACATAAGGAATACATATTGTAGTAGGATCCAGGATCAATGGCAAGTTGCCTATGTCATTTGAGGACGGTTCACAAGGGTCATCCCACGAGTAGTCCTGAAACACAAGGACCATTGGACATAAGGATTACATGTTGTAGTAGATCCAGGATCATTGGCAAGTTGCCTACGTCATTGTACAGACGGTTCACTAGGGTCATCCCACGAGTAGTCCTGAAACACAAGGAGCATTGGACATAAGGATTACATGTTGTAGTAGATCCAGGATCAATGGCAAGTTGCCTACGTCATTGTACAGACGGTTCACTAGGGTCATCCCACGAGTAGTCCTGAAACACAAGGGCCATTGGACATAAGGATTACATGTTGTAGTAGATCCAGGATCAACCGCAAGTTGCCTACGTCATTGTACAGACGGTTCACTAGGGAGTAACCTTGGTCATCCCACGAGTAGTCCTAAAACACAAGGACCATTGGACATAAGGAATACATATTGTAGTAGGATCCAGGATCAATGGCAAGTTGCCTACGTCATTGTACAGACGGTTCACAAGGGTCATCCCACGAGTAGTCCTGAAACACAAGGACCATTGGACATAAGGATTACATGTTGTAGTAGATCCAGGATCAATGGCAAGTTGCCTACGTCATTGTACAGACGGTTCACTAGGGTCATCCCACGAGTAGTCCTGAAACACAAGGACCATTGGACATAAGGAATACATATTGTAGTAGGATCCAGGATCAATGGCAAGTTGCCTATGTCATTTGAGGACGGTTCACAAGGGTCATCCCACGAGTAGTCCTGAAACACAAGGACCATTGGACATAAGGATTACATGTTGTAGTAGATCCAGGATCAATGGCAAGTTGCCTACGTCATTGTACAGACGGTTCACTAGGGTCATCCCACGAGTAGTCCTGAAACACAAGGAGCATTGGACATAAGGATTACATGTTGTAGTAGATCCAGGATCAATGGCAAGTTGCCTACGTCATTGTACAGACGGTTCACTAGGGTCATCCCACGAGTAGTCCTGAAACACAAGGACCATTGGACATAAGGATTACATGTTGTAGTAGATCCAGGATCAATGGCAAGTTGCCTACGTCATTGTACAGACGGTTCACAAGGGTCATCCCACGAGTAGTCCTGAAACACAAGGGCCATTGGACATAAGGATTACATGTTGTAGTAGATCCAGGATCAATGGCAAGTTGCCTACGTCATTGTACAGACGGTTCACAAGGGTCATCCCACGAGTAGTCCTGAAACACAAGGACCATTGGACATAAGGATTACATGTTGTAGTAGATCCAGGATCAATGGCAAGTTGCCTACGTCATTGTACAGACGGTTCACTAGGGTCATCCCACGAGTAGTCCTGAAACACAAGGAGCATTGGACATAAGGATTACATGTTGTAGTAGATCCAGGATCAATGGCAAGTTGCCTACGTCATTGTACAGACGGTTCACTAGGGTCATCCCACGAGTAGTCCTGAAACACAAGGACCATTGGACATAAGGATTACATGTTGTAGTAGATCCAGGATCAATGGCAAGTTGCCTACGTCATTGTACAGACGGTTCACTAGGGTCATCCCACGAGTAGTCCTGAAACACAAGGAGCATTGGACATAAGGATTACATGTTGTAGTAGATCCAGGATCAATGGCAAGTTGCCTACGTCATTGTACAGACGGTTCACTAGGGTCATCCCACGAGTAGTCCTGAAACACAAGGACCATTGGACATAAGGAATACATATTGTAGTAGGATCCAGGATCAATGGCAAGTTGCCTACGTCATTGTACAGACGGTTCACTAGGGTCATCCCACGAGTAGTCCTGAAACACAAGGGCCATTGGACATAAGGATTACATGTTGTAGTAGATCCAGGATCAATGGCAAGTTGCCTACGTCATTGTACAGACGGTTCACAAGGGTCATCCCACGAGTAGTCCTGAAACACAAGGACCATTGGACATAAGGATTACATGTTGTAGTAGATCCAGGATCAATGGCAAGTTGCCTACGTCATTGTACAGACGGTTCACTAGGGTCATCCCACGAGTAGTCCTGAAACACAAGGGCCATTGGACATAAGGATTACATGTTGTAGTAGATCCAGGATCAATGGCAAGTTGCCTACGTCATTGTACAGACGGTTCACTAGGGTCATCCCACGAGTAGTCCTGAAACACAAGGACCATTGGACATAAGGATTACATGTTGTAGTAGATCCAGGATCAATGGCAAGTTGCCTACGTCATTGTACAGACGGTTCACTAGGGTCATCCCACGAGTAGTCCTGAAACACAAGGACCATTGGACATAAGGAATACATATTGTAGTAGGATCCAGGATCAATGGCAAGTTGCCTACGTCATTTGAGGACGGTTCACAAGGGTCATCCCACGAGTAGTCCTGAAACACAAGGACCATTGGACATAAGGATTACATGTTGTAGTAGATCCAGGATCAATGGCAAGTTGCCTACGTCATTGTACAGACGGTTCACTAGGGTCATCCCACGAGAAGTCCTGAAACACAAGGAGCATTGGACATAAGGATTACATGTTGTAGTAGATCCAGGATCAATGGCAAGTTGCCTACGTCATTGTACAGACGGTTCACTAGGGTCATCCCACGAGTAGTCCTGAAACACAAGGACCATTGGACATAAGGATTACATGTTGTAGTAGATCCAGGATCATTGGCAAGTTGCCTACGTCATTGTACAGACGGTTCACTAGGGTCATCCCACGAGTAGTCCTGAAACACATGGGCCATTGGACATAAGGATTACATGTTGTAGTAGATCCAGGATCAATGGCAAGTTGCCTACGTCATTGTACAGACGGTTCACTAGGGTCATCCCACGAGTAGTCCTGAAACACAAGGACCATTGGACATAAGGATTACATGTTGTAGTAGATCCAGGATCAATGGCAAGTTGCCTACGTCATTGTACAGACGGTTCACAAGGGTCATCCCACGAGTAGTCCTGAAACACAAGGACCATTGGACATAAGGATTACATGTTGTAGTAGATCCAGGATCAATGGCAAGTTGCCTACGTCATTGTACAGACAGTTCACTAGGGTCATCCCACGAGTAGTCCTGAAACACAAGGACCATTGGACATAAGGATTACATGTTGTAGTAGATCCAGGATCAATGGCAAGTTGCCTACGTCATTGTACAGACGGTTCACTAGGGTCATCCCAAGAGTAGTCCTGAAACACAAGGACCATTGGACATAAGGATTACATGTTGTAGTAGATCCAGGATCAATGGCAAGTTGCCTACGTCATTGTACAGACGGTTCACTAGGGTCATCCCACGAGTAGTCCTGAAACACAAGGAGCATTGGACATAAGGATTACATGTTGTAGTAGATCCAGGATCAATGGCAAGTTGCCTACGTCATTGTACAGACGGTTCACTAGGGTCATCCCACGAGTAGTCCTGAAACACAAGGACCATTGGACATAAGGAATACATATTGTAGTAGGATCCAGGATCAATGGCAAGTTGCCTACGTCATTGTACAGACGGTTCACTAGGGTCATCCCACGAGTAGTCCTGAAACACAAGGGCCATTGGACATAAGGATTACATGTTGTAGTAGATCCAGGATCAATGGCAAGTTGCCTACGTCATTGTACAGACGGTTCACAAGGGTCATCCCACGAGTAGTCCTGAAACACAAGGACCATTGGACATAAGGATTACATGTTGTAGTAGATCCAGGATCAATGGCAAGTTGCCTACGTCATTGTACAGACGGTTCACTAGGGTCATCCCACGAGTAGTCCTGAAACACAAGGGCCATTGGACATAAGGATTACATGTTGTAGTAGATCCAGGATCAATGGCAAGTTGCCTACGTCATTGTACAGACGGTTCACTAGGGTCATCCCACGAGTAGTCCTGAAACACAAGGACCATTGGACATAAGGATTACATGTTGTAGTAGATCCAGGATCAATGGCAAGTTGCCTACGTCATTGTACAGACGGTTCACTAGGGTCATCCCACGAGTAGTCCTGAAACACAAGGACCATTGGACATAAGGAATACATATTGTAGTAGGATCCAGGATCAATGGCAAGTTGCCTACGTCATTTGAGGACGGTTCACAAG